GGCACAATTACTCAAACATCTTGATTTGAAAAGGCTGAAAGCCATTTCTCCACATGACACTCTGCAGCCTCATTGTGAAGACACTTCTCTTAATAGTGTATTCCACCTGCATCAGGCAGAGCAGCGCTTCAGGGCCTATCATCTATCAGTCCTTGTACCGGGGCTCTAAGCACCATATTATAACATAGAATGCAGATCCCATCATGATATTTCTCCTCCTCCAAAGAGGACTGGGTGATCTGGACCTGAAATGGGTGGGGGAGTGTGGCATCGTTGGTGAACTCCAACTTGAAGAAGTTGGAGTGAAGACTTGCTGTGGAGATAGAGAGAAACATAACTAGATCATCTTCCGAACTTTGATGAAACAAGAAAACAAAAGAAACACATTATTGAAGCAGAAGGAAACTCTCCATGAAGACTCCCTTTCCCTCTGCACTGAAAACAGTGAGAAAGTGTACTGTGTTTTGGGTAGAGCGGATTACTTAGCCAACATCAAGAGCCAAATGATTGTGAGGCGCTGCCCAACTTAGCTGGGCTGGATCCCATGCACTTTCCTACCCAGGTACCCTGGGTGAAGGAATGTGTAGTTGGTGCTACTGTGATCCTGGTGTAAGTCAGGTCTACCAGCAAATGGCACTGGAGAAAAACACTGTGATTGTGAAGGGCAAAACACTGATGTGTCCCTCCTGATGCACGAAACTGACTGTCTCCTGCTCATAAGAACGGAGGCTGCATGCAGGGATGGAAAGGTTTTCCACTCTGAGTGCCACAAACTGAAATCTTGATAAGGCCTGCCTCACTGCTATGAGCTTTGGACAATCAACGGTGCTCCATCCCTCCTCTGCTTCTCCCTTACCCATCTCCAGGCAGAGGTATTTTGATGGCAATGACGGGATTGACCATGTAGAATTTATAATTGTCAGTGTCAAGAATGCTCAGCTTTAAAGCCAAGTCCTTGACATTACTTGCACATAGGACCTTGGACATGGTAAAAATTAATGATGCATCTTTGTTTCCTTCAGGAATCAGGTTGAGTAACAGTAACAGTTGGTAGGCAAGCTAACCGCAAACTCTGGGCAAGTTGTGAAGTAACTGCAACGTTTGTAATTTTACTCCCTCCATTTTCTGCTTTATGGCCAGAAGTTCTTAGACACACCAGAAATTCAACTGCCATTTCTTCCTACTTCAAAACCAGGTCACTTTTAAAAGTATGTTGAGAATAAAAAGCTATCTCAGTTATGAGGGTATGCATTTAAGGGAAGTTATTTGTAGGCATATTTTCACATGCATATATATCTATGTGTGTCTGTGCATGTATGCACGTGTGTACACTTCTGTATACATAAGAAATGAATATCAAAGTATTGAAAAAATCACATCACTAGTAACTAAACTGAGGAACCAACAAGCAATTAAAATATTTCAGTTTAGTTTTGATACTAAATGATCTGTAAGACATGGTGTCATTTGCAGACATCTTGGTCAATTAGAAACACTATCATTCAAAATAGCAAATCTGTCATAACCTATTATGATGTACTTCAGGTGTCGTATTAAAATATTGCATGAACGATGTTTGTTTGTTGACTGAAAAGAAGTGTAAAGTAAAATATGATCTGAAAAAGTATTTAGTACTGGTGTCATCGGATAGTTACTGGGTTTGTCAGCAAGTGACTTGGCACAATGGAACATCAGTAGATGGGAAAGGATCACTAGACCTTAGAGATTGTGCTGAGGTTCCTCAGTTCTTCATTATATGGATTTATGAATTCAGTTTGCCTTGGATTTTGCTACTGAATAAACCACAAAACGATGTAAGTTGGAATGGGTGTTTGGGGACCATCTGGTCCATCCATCCCTCCAGACAGAGCCAGTTTCAAAGATAGACCAGGTTGCTTAGAGTTTTTTCCAGTTGAGTTTGAATATCTATACGGGGATCGAGATTCTATAAATTCTCTGGGTCCCCATTCCAGTGTTTAACGACCCTCATTGTGAGATGGGTTTTTTCCTTATATCTAATTGGATTTTCTCTCATTGTAATTTGTGTCTTTTACCTCTCATCCTTCCACTGCCCACCTCTGAGAAGAGTGTGGATCCATCTTCTCTATAGCTACCATTAGGTAGTTGTGAACAACAATTAGATGACCCTTAGCCATGTCTTCTCCGAGCTGAACAAAGATGGGTCCTTCAGCCTCTCCTCAAATGGCTGATCCACCAGTCCAAACTTTCCATGTTTCCAAAAGAAAGAAATAATATGTGCACTCTACAGGACCTTGAGGTGGTGTAGTCCACACATTGGTTCATGCCCCACTAGGCATTGGAGTACCTTCAGAGTACCTTTAGAGTACCTTCAAAGCAAAACTTTTGGTTCACTTTCCTCCTAAGGAATCTAGTTTGCACACATGAAAACCCCTCTGCAAACCAAACCAGCATGAAGTCACAGGGGACCATCTAGGGGTTACTTCAAGACTGCACTAATGCGATTGTAGACTTCACTGTGGATACTGCTCTACCCAAGCAAGGCAAGGCAAATGCTAGGAATTGAGGGTAAAAAAGGACCTGAAAACAAAAGAATAAATATGGCTAGGCACGATACAAATCCAAGATGCATTTCGGACATTGCACGCAATTCTAGCTAGCCCATTCCCAAAAGGGTGTAATAGAACTGAAAAAAATAAGATAAATGTGCAACAGGAATGACCCACTGAAATAGCTGGATCCATTTGAAGACTTGCCTTACAGATGTGGTTGACAGAATCCCTCTTTTCATTGTGGGAAAATATACTGACAAGGGGGACTGTAAGAAACGACCACAGCATCAGTAGTGATGTAGAGAGGTGAAAATGGAATATTTATTTGCTACTTCCCATGACAGAAAAAGCAGAGGCAATCAGCTGGCAGACTGAGAAACAAAAAATGAATGCTCACCTAAGGCCTAATATGTTTCTGGAATTATCAGCTGAAGGTCCTGTGCAGGCCAGAAGTACAAGATCAGCCAGAGTAACAGAAAAATGCTCAATCAGGAGCTCTGCAGCCTAAGTGTCCAGAGAGAGCCTCTGGCACTGGATTTCCCTAAACTGATGTATTGTGCATCAGCTGGAACGGTGTACAGGGATATAACCACGATGCACTCACCCCATTTCTGTACATTTTATGCTCTTTACTTAGGCATCCTTAATGGCCACTGGCAACTAAACCAATGGACATTTGGCTTAGTTTCGTACGTCCATTATGTGTTCTTATATTCTGCATTTATGGAACAGAAAATAAACTAACTGGGAGTGCAGAGAAATGCGCAGATGTTTTGTATTGCAATGGATTATGTTGCTCCTAAGCAGGAACAGTTCAACGTATGTCCCAAGATGTTTGACACATACCACGGTGGCTTAACGTATCTTACACAAACTGGAGTGTCACAAGAGGTGTTGCATGAATAACCTGGGATTTTCCAGAAGAAAAGCTTCAATAGGTTCAGAGAGAAACCCTGTTTTTTCACTGGGAAGTGAAAAGCAACTTGGTTCTGGTTGGATTAGAAGTCACAAAAAAAAAGGGTAATTTTTTGATTGGCTCAATGTGTACTTGCTGAGAAGAGAAAGCAGTTGTCCCTCCCCTTAGGAAACATATTATAAAAGAAGTTCTCAGCCCCACAGCCAAAGTCCTCTGGAGGGAAGGGACCAAGAGCAGGTCTTGTTTGGCTTCTGCACTCACCTGATACCCGGTAACTTCTCAGTTCTTTTCAGTCTTTCTTTCAATGTCTGCTGTTGTCTTTGCCTCAAAACAAAACAAAAAAAAAACCCAACCAAAAAAACCCCAAACCCAAAACCTGAAACCTCTGCATTACTAACCTAAATTTGTAGTTTACTAAAAAAGGTTAATCTAAGTTTTCTGGAAATTGCACAGGTTGAATAAGTAGTTCAAATACATGCTAATACCTAGAATACTTTGATAAAAATACTAACTCCTAGAAAAAAATCTGGCTGTGTCAGGTTACTTTAGAGAGGTCTGTTGTCCAGAGAAATTGGTGGTCTCTTTGATGGAAACCAATATATATTTTTTTATCTGTGTCTCTATATTAAGAATTTTATTTAATTTTCAGAATTGTGACTTTGCCTACTTGTTTCTCCTAGTATTTTCAAATATACAGGATTCTGTGTAAACTTCTAATACTAATTTCAAAGCTGGTTTGGGTCACCCTCTACCATTCCGTTTGCAGAGATACATTTCAGCACAACCTCATTCGCCTTCCTTGCTTAAGAGAACATAATTTGTGACAGATCAGAAGATTCTCTAATGCCAAGATATATGACATTAACTACCTCTTCTTTATCCATAAGCGCCCTTCTAGGCTATCTTATTCCATTTTGCTGATATTAGTTCAATTAACTCTTTCAATGAAGACATTGTATGTTTGCTTTTCAAATTTCATTTGTCAAATGGGAACTGATCTGGTTGTACATTTCCATTCCAGAACTGTTGCCTGTAGACTGAGACTGAAGATTTTGAGCAAGTTGATTTTAGCTGCTATTTCTTGGTAAATTTTAAAATTGCAAAATTAACATTTTTTTTTTCTTGAAGTTTGTAAGTTTGACTGTATAATCACCTCATTTTGCTTAGTGTTGTTTATTTATTAGATAAAACATTTAACTAAAAATAGAGTCATGAATGCATTTTGGCTACGGATGATTTGCAAAACATGAAAGAAATCTGAGCAAACTGCTAAAATAACTTAATGATCACATATCCTGAAAGCATGTTGCCCCATATATATTTACTTTTCCCAGAAATGCATACACAACAGTCATGATGTCATATGGCTCTTACTGGTTATTTTTGAAAGTTTGAAGAAAAAGGTAATATAAATGCCATTTTGGTTACTACAGTATTTGGACGGTTCAGAACACTGTAGATCCCAGGGACTGTCTGTCATACATCTTTCTTGGTCCTTTTCCCT